TTTTGCAATTCTCATATCTGCCCTAGATGTACATGTACACTAGCTGCTGCTTATAAACAAAAAAAACAAAATCAAATCTTCAACTCCTTTCTTTTACCTGGAGCGCGTGTGCACATCCATTTGTATAGGCGCCAAATCGCTAATGCACAAGACAAATGTTATCTCAATTTATTTCTCTGAAGTGAGTTCCTTGGATTTAGATCCTGGTCTAGATCGATAATACTTTTAACTTTACTCATTAGTTTCATTGATTAATAAGCAAACAACACCTATATAACCATTGCATATTTTAGAATCAAAACATACATTTATTTAAATATCTATTAAAAAGTATCGCAATCGAATATGTTTAATAACTACCTACCGAACATACCTTTGGTTAGATTCTATTCATTTATAAAGCCGAACACTAAAAATTATTTGTTTCAGTACTAACATGAACTATCGAAATAAACTTCTACGAATATTTGCGACGAATAATAACCAAACAGTTTATTAATTATTTCGCCGTTCCTTCCACCACTATACTTCATATCTAAAGCAGAATACTTTATTTTCGTAACATGTTCAATATTTACAGAAAATCTTCTAGAAACCGTGCTTTGCACGGGTCTAAATACTAGTAGAATAGAAAATTGAGTTCAGTTGTATATTCATAATCGAGTAAAGATAGGGTCATTTACATTTAAATGTCCATAAGTTTTATCTTATTTTTCACTTTAATATCTAAATGTTTTCTTCTGTCCAAAAATACCTGTAAGTTTAAAAAAAAGTAAACATAGAGACTCCAAAGTTTTTCCCCCTTAAAAACAACATGCTACAGTTGAACAATTTTTAACTTTAATATCTAAAACTTTTTTTTGTTAAATTTTTATTAATGTTTGGAGTTAAATTTTTTTTAATGTTTGGACTATCAAAGTTAAACTTTGATTAAAGTTTGAGGTATCAAAGTTAATTTTTTTTGGGAAAAAAATGGGTATCAAAGTAAAAAATGAGGTGATTTTGAAGTAATTTTTGGGCAAAAGAAAACTTTAGTGTATCAAAGTTAAAAACGAAGTAAAGTTTGTGGTAGTTAAGTGTAAATAATCATATGAAGATACTATCAATTAAGTTAGAGGTAACATTATTATAGCAATAGGAGTTTTTGAAAGGGGTCTACACAATTACCACTTTTAACAAACTTATCATGCAATCCAAACAATATATTGTTATTGTTTTAGGATTCATGATGGAATATAAACTAAACAACGTAAAAACACAAATAGAAAGTAATGAGGTGATGATCACTTTTCATTTGGTGTCATAAAAACTCAAGTTTCCTTCGAACAATCAACAATCGTCTCCTTAATATTTATATCTAGGGTCTGTTCGTTTGACTAAAAAAAGAGGGAAATCAAAGAAATGAAAAACTATTAAAATGAAGAATTGGTTTGGGAGTGTTTGGTTGGCTAAAAAAAGAAGGAAATAAAAAAATGGAGATGAAATAATGTTAGTTGTCACATTATTATTGGATGATGTGAGTGATTTTTTAAGAAAACTTTGTCACATTATTATTGGATGATGTGAGTGATTTTTTAAGAAAACTAGTTTTGATGTTGTTTGGTTGGCGAAAAAAATAAGGAAATGAATTATAAGAAACCTATTTCCTGTAGTTTGTTAATTTTTTTTTTGTTTGGTTCATTCTTAAAAATAAGAAATGAAATTAGATGAGATGAGTTGTCATTGTATTATTGGGTGGTGTGACCCACACTTAAGAAAAATGTTTTCACAACTTTTTGGGATGAAAACAAAGAAATGAAATGTTAATGAGATGAGGTGAATTGTTATAATATTTTATTGGATGATATGAGTGATTTGAAATGATGAGAAGAGATGAGTTGAGTGATGTTTAGATGAAAATAATATTTTATTAGATATGATGGATGAGTTGTTAGATGAAAATAATATTTTATTAGATGTGATGGATGAGTGGTTAGATGAAAAAAATATTTTATTAGATGATGTGGATGAGTTGTTGGATGGAAATAATATTTTATTGAATGTTGTGGGTGAGTTTTAGGGATGGAAATGAAAAAAATAGTACTTTTTGAGATTTTCACCTTTTCCATTTCCATTTCTTAATTTTTAGGAAATAACCGAACAGACTAAAGTAAAAGCACATGGATCCATGTTGGGCCGATGAGGACAGGACTATGTATCCTCGTAGAAGTGGGTGATTCTGAGCTCACTGTTTAGGGGGTGTTTGGTTACATTTCTATAAATTATAGGAAATGTTTTCCACCCAAAATTTGATTTCTTTGTATTTCTTAAAAAAATTATAAGAAAAGTTTTGAGAAGTTAAAAAGTACAAATTTTCTTACTTTTTGTATTTTACTTGTTTGGTTCAAAACAAGAAAGTGACTCATAACTTTTGGGAAAATAGCAACATTTCTTATAATTTATAGAAATGTAACCAAACACCCCCAACTATATAGAAAAATGAGAACTTTATAGAAATGTGTTAATGAGTTTTATTATTTAAATAATGAATGCATCAGATTTCCAAGAGATTTCCGCTCATTTTTGAAGGAAATCAATTTCTATAAAATTTGGTACTTTTCTGTACTTTATAGAAAACATTTCTGTAAATCTTTTTTGAGCCAAACACAGTTTATAGAAATCTATAGAAATCTCTTAATTACAGAAATGCCGTGCGTCAGTACTTTTGAGAAAACATTTCTCAAAAAACATGCAACCAAACACCCCCTTAGCATAAACCCGCTGCTCACACGTGGACTGTTTTGATAGGGACAGTACATGCTGATGAGATAAAATAGCATAGACCCCATAAACAGTAATCATGATTGTTGTGGGCTACTAGTGCTAGCAATAATGCACTATAGAATCAAAATTATATGAGTGATACCCTCACTTACTACAGTCCCAGTCTAGCTGTTAGCCATGTGATGCTCCAAATTAAATTAATATTCTTATATTTATATTAGACTTTTGAATAAAAAGAGAGGATAAAAGTATATTTTTTTTAAGTAAGAATAAAATAAAAATATACAGGAAATTGAAAGACGAAGAGTATAGATTTTTAAAAAATATATAGGATAGTGCATTAAAATGAGATGGTGAAAAAAATGATTATTAGCTATTAAATGTTGGACTCCTTAGAATTTGCCAACTAGCAAATATATGCAACCATGTATTTACTTTATGAGTATACTATTGATGATTGATGCTTTGAAATTGAGTTCGTTTCTCCATGGTCAAACTGTAACATATTCATGTTCGATCACAATTAATTCGTCGTAGACAGGAAATAACAAATATATATAATTCATAAAATGTAATGTGATGTGTTAATTATGTCTAAATGAACTATATCGGTCTTACTTATAGACCAATGATTATGATTTGAGAAATGAGTTTCTCTCATGCGTGGTGGGCGATTTCTTTCTCCTCCTTTATTTATTCTCTCTTGAGGTTGAAGAAAGTATTGACGCAAATTAGTGTCAAGGAAAGCTCCAAAGTTTTGACGACTATTGATAATTTAGGATTTTATACTCTAACGTGTAATCGTAAGGCCGCATATTAAGCGTCATTTTGTTCGCCGAAACTTAGACTTATGAGTAGGATTTTATACTCCCTTAAATCCGTTGTAGAAGCTCATGAGTAGTAATTTTTATACCTGAATTGCTGTAATATTATAACATTGCATCAAAACTTAGAAGTTAATAAGTAAGAAAAGTATCACTATAAGAAAACCGGAGGGAGCAAGATTTTTTTTAAAAAAAAATAGAAAATCTCAAGGACACATTAGAAAATTCCACCTTTATCACATTAACATGCAATATTTTAATATTTTAAGAAACAAATATTATCACAAAGAATTAGGCTCTAGGCGTGTGATTATAAGGATGACCTCTACGTACGTAAGTGCCCCACTAACGTAGTGGTCTAGTGAAGTTCCAACATGTGGATGCATGGTGTCATTTTCTCCTTAAGACCAACATGAAGCTAAAGTTTTCAACGGACCGAACAAAAATTTAATGAAGCTAAAGTTAGGTAACAAAAAATAAATAAATGCAGTTCCACCTCGTGGATGCACGGTGACATTTACTCCTTAATTAATCCATTAAGTTAGGTAAATAGTCCTTGTCCATTCAAAATGGAAGTAAGGACCAACGTGAAGCTTGATACTTTTATAATCATGTGGATTAATTTGTTGAGGTTTTGGATTATTTGGATCCACATTACTTATTGGTAGGGGAAACTAAAATAATGATGAATAATTCCATGATTTCCTCATTAATAATAATAAATATGTTTAATTGGGAACATGAAACGCATGGAGTAGTTCCTTTACCAGTGAAAAGAGAATTGGGTTTTTATTAGAGAGATGATATGTTTAATAGACGCTGAGGCATCAAAGATCGCGATTCTGTGGCACCAAAATGCAAAAATACCCAACAATAAAAAAAACACAAAATAATCTTAAAAACTACCAGCGATTCCAAAATTTAAAAAAAAACAAAGAGAAATATTGCTCTTATTTACTCTTTTAATTTTCTTACGTTATGTCCAGTTATTTACATTTTTTTTAGTGACATTTCCTCTCTGACTAGTTTTGAGGAGAAAAAAGAAAGCCTATTATGTAAATAGAAGAACAGAATACACCGCTCCATCTTCCTCAAAAAGAAGAAAAACAATAGAAGTACATATAAAAAAAAAAGAGGGAAAAAAAACTGTCAATCTAATTTAAACTACTACCAAATAATCTTCTAAATTCGCAACAAAGATGAACATTAGAATCAAACAAGCATGCTCTAACTTCGAAACGATAAGTACAAAAGATATTTTCTCATTTACAACTTTCCAAAGTATGACCACAGCTTTTTGGCATTGTATTTACTTCTGAAAGCATTATGCATAGAACACGAAGCGCAAAAAAAAAAATCATTAGTAATACTAATAAGCATAGCTGACAACAATTCCATTGAACAAATATAATATAAACCTAAAGAGCAAAAAGGATCTTACTGCTGAAGAAAGAGAATACATTACTGACTCTTTGTTTCTAGGCACAAACCGAATAATTCAACTAAAATTCTTATCAGAATACAATAGCTATTCGATAGTGTTGAAAATTTTACCAAACTTTATAGACAAAACTCACAAAAGTAAGTATGAGCAATTCTAATTAGGATACAATAACTACTTCACTAGGGTATTAAAAATATCACCGAACTTTTATAGACAAAATTCACAAAATTAAACATCAGCATTAGCTGCCAAAGGCGTGCATCGCTTTGATCAACGCTTGGCTATTCCTTCTCAGAACTGGGGAAAAATTCGCTTCTTTCAAGCTGAAAATAGTTTTATCACCTTGCTAGACTTTTAAGAATTTTGCAATTGACGGTGTATTTGAAGAATCCAATCTAGGTAACTGCTGGTTCCAGCAGTCTGGTCCTCAACGAGCTTGGAGAGAAGCAAGGAAGACTCTCTCGGTTGCTCACCTTGCCTTATTATATGAGCTAGCTGGTAATAGGAAGGGTCTTTCTGTCTCAATCTATTTAGAATCCTCATCAATTTTCTGGAGACATTGTTGTCCTGCTCGCAAAGAGTAACCTGCAACACAACACAATGGATAAATAACATGGTGATCGGTCGTAATGAACGTCACAAGGCAAGATGTGACCCTGTAACACACAAGTTCATCTCAATTTCATCTCTCATATTGGTTGGTTCGGAGAGGGAGATTCTCATTTACTAGATTTTGACACGTATGATGCGAATGGCAATGAAACAAACTTAACCACTATCATATTATTCCTGATTTCTTTCAACCAAGTTCTCTTATACGTAACTACTGTTCTTGTTTCATTAATTATCATTTCATTATTTCTCCTAACTGGTGAGTTCAATGGCCTCCGTGTTCATGGCCAAACCATCTCAATCCATTCTCCGCATTTTATCCTTGATTGGAGCAACCTTCATGCGGATATATTCCTTTCTTTATCTTATCCCTTACTGCATATCTACATGTTCCTTACAACATTTTCATTTCTGCTAAACTTATTTTTTTTCCACATGTTTCTCAATTTCTCAACATTTTGATTCATAAAGCATAGTTGATCTTAAGTTGTTCTATAGATGTAAACGTATAAGCAAAATAATCTATCTTTGAAAATGTAAACAAATGGTTTTCATGGAGAATGTTACTTTCTATGTCCTAAACTTTTCTAAACATTCTAATGCTGCATGAGGAATTATCCATCTGCAAGACCCTGAAAATGCTTGAAAACAAGGTTACAAATTAAGTCGTCGTCATCATCAAGGCATTTACCCTAAATGTTTGGGATCAGCTACATGAATCATATTCTTCCATTTCATTCTATTATGAGACATATTCTCCATTAAGTTAATCACAATCATATCTTTCTTAGTTGCTTTTAACCAAGTTTTTTTGGTCTACCACTAGATCTCCTAACTCCATTAACTATAATACTATTACTTTTCCTAACCAATGCATTAAGAGGTCTCCATTGTACACAACCAAACTATCTCAGTCGAGTCTCTCTCATTTTATCCTTAATAGAATCAACATCTAATTTACTATAGATACATTCATTTTTATCTCATCTTTTAGTGTATACTCACAAGCCCATCGTAACATTCTCATTTCTGCTACACTTATTTTTTTCACATATTGTTTTTTAATTGCTCAACACTCTGACTTGTGCATTGTTAGTCATATAATCGCCCCCATAGAACATTTCCTTTACTTTCGTTGGTATTCTATGATGACATGAGACTCATGAATCACTCTTTCATTTCAATCATCCTAATTTAATTTGATGGACAACATTATCCTTAATCTCACTATCATGCCGAATGTTTAGTTCTAAATAGCGAAAATAATTACTTTAAATATTTTTTAATTATCAATATGTACTATATGCTCTTTTCTTTTCGTAGTTTTACTAAAAAATTGCATTCTATATTCTATTTTTATTCTACTAATTCTAAAACTTTTAGATACAAAAGCTTGTCTTCACATTTCTACTTTAAAAATAATACTCTTCTAGTTTCATCAACACTACATCTCCGCAAATAACATACACTATGAAATTTTATCAGGAATGTGCCAAGTAAGTTGGTCAATAACTAACACAAAAAGATAAGGATTAAGCCTGACCGTTGGTATAAACAAATGGTAATAAGAAATGACTTGGTCTCTCCTTCATTAGTTCTTACTCTAGTTGTTACTCTATCATATATATTTTTAATCATATCAATATATATACTAGATACATATTTCTTTTGTAAAATCTAATGCATTACCTCTCTAGGCACTCTATCTTAAGCTTTTTCTAAATCTATAAAAACTATATGTAGATCATTTCTCTTCTCTCTATATCTCTCTATCAACCGTCTCAAAATATATATAGGTTCCATAGTTGACCTCTCGGACATAAAACCAAACTGATTTTTAGTTACACTTGTCACCTTTCTTAACCTTTGCTCAATTACCATCTCCCAAAATTTTATAGTATGACCCATGAATTTTATACTATGATAATTTAAACAACTTGGTATATCTCTTTTATTCTTGTATATTGGTATCAAAATACTAATCCTCCATTTATCGGACATCCTTTTTGTCTCAATAATCTTATTAAAAATTTAGTTAACCATCCTAAGTCTATATCTCCAAGATATTTCTATACTTTAATAGAGATATCGTCCGGTCCTACGGCTCTTTCACTTTTTATTTTCTTTAGAGTACTTTTAACTTCATTAATCCTAACTTTTTTGACAATATCTATAGTTTCTATTATTCACTATATTTTCTATGCTACTCACTTGTCTTGTTATCATTAAACAATTTATGAAAGTTAACTCCTCTACCTCTCTTTTATTGCCCCATCGATCAATATAACTCTTTGATCTTCACTGTTAATACACCTAATATTACCTAAATCCCTACTCTTCCTTTCTCTAATCTTAGCAAGCTTGTATATATCTTTCTCTCCCTCCTTAGATTCTAACTTCTTATAGAAATTCTCATAAGCCTTATATTTAGTCTCACTAACCTCTTTTTGCTTCCTTCCTTGCTAGCTTAGATTTGTCCAAGTTTTTTTGCTCCTACAATTTTGCTAACTCTTTATATAATATTTTCTTCACTCTAATCACCTTTTGCACATTTTCATTTCACCGTCAACTCTTCTTATCATCTAATCTATAACTTTTAGATTCTCCTAGCATATATTTAATCACATTCTTGATACAAGAAACATGTTATTTCACATAATATTAGTCTCATTATTTATATTTCATATATCTTCATTATCTTATTTTTAAAATACATTAAATTCTCTCCTTTTAAGTTCCACAATTTAACTCTTAGTCTCTTGTTCATGTTAATTTTTCCACTCCACTTTTTGATAGACATGTCTAATACCATCAACTTATGCTGTGTAGTTAAACTCTCTCCTGGTATAATTTTACAAGCTTCGTATGTTAATCTATCCACCCTTCTAATTAAAAAAACTATGTGACTATTATGAAATCTGTTTTTAAAGGTTATCAAGTGTTTATCCCTTCTTCTAACTTGTGTGTTTGCTATTATCAAATCATACAATGTTGCAAGTTCTAAAACCGATTCTCCTATATCGTTCTTTATCTTCATACCAAAACCTCTATCTATCCTCCCATATCCATTATTACCCTTATCAACATGCCCATTAAGATCCTCTCCTAACACAATTTCTCTCCTAATGAAATTCCTTGTACCAATTCATCTTAACTATCCCAAAATTCTATTTTAGTACTCTTGAGCAACCTTACTTATGGTTACGCACTCATAATATTAATAACATCTACTCCTAATACAATTATTATTATTATTATTCTATCTCCCAACTATTTTTACATCTGCAACACTATCTTTTATTATGTTATCTACAAGGACTCCCACTCTGATCTTTTCTTCTCTTTTCCCATGTACCAAAGTTTATATCCAGTCATTTCAATTTCTCTAGATTTTTCAACTATCTATTTAGTTTCTTGTAAACAAATTATACTTATCTTTCTTCTAAGCATGATATCTACTAATTCCATTGTCTTTCTAATAAGTGTACATATATTCCATTGCAATAACCAAAGACTCATTGGTGTATCTTCCATTGCAGTTATTTCAGTTTTCATTCTCTGATTTGTGTAATTTTACAGAAAGGTTTGAACATAGTTACCATCTATAATTCTTCGGACCAGTAGACCGTGCTAGTTGATAACATACATGCATACGATAACTATAGAAAATACTTGAAAATCTATCGCACATGAAGATGAGTACCTTAGATAAATCAGGGAATGCAGAGAAATTCCCTAGGATATTATTGGTCAAATCAGATGGCAGAGCGCTGCCAAACCAAATAACGAAGTTGAATCCATCATCGTAAACGTACAAGCCTTTAGGGTCTAAACTATGTGCAGTTAAAGCTAATGAACTTGAGGTCTCTTCAAAATCATCTGACGCCTGCAAACATGGATTCACAACAAAAAACTGAATTAAGTGAGCTTGTCCCAAATGTCTAATCACATCGTAGGTAATGGTTGTAGCATTTCAGTAAAAAAATCATGGGCAATCTTCAGAACTTCAAAATCTGTACAACAAATATATGATATAACTCAATTTATAATTAAGTATTTACCAGGTTTATTATATGCGGGTACGAACATATTATATATCTGCTTTAACTTTGCATTGAACCAAGAAAATGATAAAAAAAGAAAAGAAACTTTGTGCCAAAATCTTGCTGGAAACACCATACACATAAAAAAATTACTGAGGGAAATGCATATGACAAAGTTAAGAAATTGTTGACACTAATACCTTGATGAGGTGCTCATCCACTCTAAGCAAGCTTGGGTATAGAAGTTTAAGCATCCTGCTTACAGGTAAAATCATCATGCTATAACCAACAGCACATCGTTCATCTAGAGAAGCATCAGCATATCCACCACGAAGCGCTACAGACTTGGAAAGAGATAATGCATATGTTGCCAAGAATTTCAAAGACTCTGGAAAGATTAGTCGCCCACCCAAACGATGGTGCACCACGTAGAGGTTGCGATATTCCTTAAGGCCCTTCACAATCTTCAACTGAATAAGAAGGCGGGAATCCTCCAGCTTATGGGCCAAGGAGTTTTCAATTGCTGCAGTTTTTAGTATAATAAGAAAAAAAATTCTGGTTAGTCACAGGATAACCAATATAAGACAAACTACATATGAAATAGGAACTCACCAAGCCTACTTAACAGCGAGATAATGGCGCCAGTATCAGCTTGACGGTACATTTCACTAAGCTCTGTTACAACCGGTGCAGCTGCTGTATGAACTCTAATACGTCTTTCACCTGAAGAGGAAGTATATCTTGTGTCCGCTAAGGAAATATATAGCATCAGATGTTACTTGATTGGCTCCGTCAGAAGAACATGTGAAGATCTAAATATAGATATCTAACATAGATATGTTGCATGAAAATAAGTAGAGTGGAGGAAAAAGAATAAGACAACATGAGAACTAGCACGCGAACAAGCTTGCAATGGACATGATTGGCTCCGTCTTTGACTTGTTATAGTAAACTAAAAGCCTAAACCCTACTAATCTTTAGCCCTCATTTACTGTAACCACAGTACTCTATTACTGAAGGTTACATCCTTCTTCATTTTGGAACTAAATTTATCTTAAATTTAAAAAAAGCCAGAAGCATATGATAATTCTTCCATTTGAACATGCCTAATATCAAGCTCATTTCTTTACCCTATATTGTATTCACTTTCAACTGATCTCAAAGAGTTACTGGCGACAAAAGCACGAGTAGAAATTATTACACTTCCATGATTGCTAAATTATCATCATATATGTTCACAAATAGATCCAAATATAAAACATGTGACTTCAGATTTCAGTACATAAATCAGAAAGTTCAGAGTATTCATTACGATTATTATTCAGTAAAATGATGTATCTTCTCTCATTTATGTTAGACTTCCTATCAAGTTGGATTTCATCTTTAATTGGACTTGGTCTTCGTGTTTATCTTCACACAAAATTGGAGTAAATTAGGGCTATTATCTATATCCCTTCACTATCACGTGTTATATGTACTCAAAGAAAGAAATGTTTTGATAATGAATTATTGGTATTGCTATTGCCAATGGTGTCCCTTCAGTTCTCTGCTTCTTCCTTAATATTCTCCTTTCCCAATATTTCTTTAATGATCTGCATTGACATGCCAGACAAAGAAATAGAAACCAAAGTAAAAGGTAATCGCCCGAAAAGCATTTTTTTCTTCAGATAACAATGTATTCATAGACATATTCTCCGTATTCCCAAGAAAACATAAATCATGAGATAATAATATGAATGATGTAATTTTATGGATATAAGCAATTGAAGAAGAAATAACGAAAGCATAAAGTCTAACTGCAATGAGTCAGAATTTGAAGAAAGGATACAGAAGGGCTACTTGGAAGTACACTGTTTGGGTTGTCATCAAGGTATCTTCCAAAGATAACTGCATTGCAAAGGCTTTATCGCAGTCTATGGCAGGAAGAGCTAATAAATCTGTAGACCTTAGCATAAAATGCCCATGGTAGGTCGTAAAACGCACACCTGAAATGACAAATAATATCCGATAAAAAAGATAGGATTTTCCAGGGAAAATATGTTGAGGGCCTTGAGGCTACCAGAAATATAAGAAAGTATAGAAACACACAAGCTAAAATAAAAACCTTTTCCACATCTAATGCGCATCACAGCTTCCCAAGCTGTTTCCCGATTGATATCTCTCGCCAACTCATGTCTTAACTTTTCCCCGTGAATGGATGCCTGAAAAGATGGATAGTAATACACCTGGCCACCACTATATTTGGCAAGAGATCCTGAAAAATTAGTAGCAAATTAATAAGGAATTGAAAGTATGCTAATCATCATTGACAGTTCCAGGATAGTCACCTAAAGAGGCTATATCAGAATACTTGTCACTAAAAGCATATATATCCACTGCTATTTGATTCTTTGTGAATTCAGCAGCCATTTGCTTGTAAAATGGATCTTCAGGAACCCTTAAGGTATGTTCTTTATCAGTTCCATATACACGAAGATCGTCACCACGCAATCTTAGGCGGCCAACACCCAGAGAAGGTAAAGTGCTCTGAAATACCAGCAGTTTCCCACCAAGTTGACTCTGCAGAAAGTATACTGAAGCTTTAGCAGGATGCACTATATGTGAACAGTAACTTGTTCTTCTGAAATAATCAAGAGCTATCGAGTAAAAACACCTACCATAATCATGAGTGCAGCTTTTAGAGCAGGGCCAAAGGCAGATTCTACATTTGTATTATCCTGGAACATACTGGGTAAGCTATCTAGGAATGCATCCGCAACATTCCTTGACTCAGACAGATTTACAAGAAGATCATCAGGCAAGGGTAAGAATATATCATCGAGATCTGATACCACCATCATTTGAGGCTGTACCAAAGAAGACTGGCAAAGGCAAAAGGATAGTGAATCAATAGTATTCATATTTGGACATAAATAACATATGGATAAAGAAGCCAGCTGCATCTAGCATTCAGACTTTTTGGAGGAGAAATTAACATGCCTTCAGACAATAGAAATGTAATGTGCTATCAAAAGTTAAGAAGCCAATTTGTGTTCTAGGAAAGCAAGGCAGCTCATCGAGACAAGACTTTATCGTTTTGGCGATAACCTGCAAAGACCCAATGTCACTAATCATGATGCAATCATGCAAATACACAGAATACACAAATCGATATTACCATGCACGAGTTTAACAGAGACACTAAAGAATGTTCATAAATGGTAATACAAATCATGCATGGAAGAAAGAAATATATTATGTAAAGACTCTTACGCTGAAGACGGACAATCCTTACCTCAAGCAAACCACTTCGAGCAGCAGTTACTGAAACGTCAATAAGGAAAAAGTACAGTGGCGGCATTGGAGGTCGCACCATATACTCAGTTGGAGCAACAAATTCTACACTTCCCTTACAAAGCTCAGGCCTTTGATTTATATCTAATCTCCTGCCAGTGGCATCTAGACCACACATATACTCTGCAGGAACTGGAATAGCATATTTGTATATGCATCAAAAACCACCTTACCAAAAGCTCAAGCAGAGTTAAACTTAATATAATTACACCACCGCCATTTTAAGTAAACTTGCACGGGTTAGGCATCACCACTTTGTCATATATTTCTTCTTTCAAGAATTGTGACATCAGCTTATCCAAATAGCAGAATATGCCATGTTTCTTATATAATATTTTGTAATAAGCAACATTACTGAACAATACTAACAAATAGCAACATCAATGACATTATTTCTAGTAATGGGAAGTAAACAGCTTCATCAAGGACTCACATGAGAGTGGAAATACTGTTAAGTGTTGAAACAAGAAGAGGCAGAAATAATGCTGCACAAGGAATCAAATGTAGACTAGCAATAGAGGAAAGATAACTGTGGTACTCCATGTGGTGCCTTTATTCTTTCTTAATTCTTGCAGATATGGGTTTTCAATTACTTGAGGACTGGGAGCTACCTCCCAGAAATCAACGAGCAATCGGATATATCGTTTTCTAATCTATAGCTTCCAGTGTTCTTGTTTCCTATTGCCTAACCAAAAGGATATACACAAAGGCAGATAAACATTACAGACATACATTCTCAACAAAGTTGTTGCAAACTACTAGGCAGCATTGCTTGCATATGAATGCCTGTCCTGCTTGTGAAGTTCAAATTCTCGTATCCTACAATTATCATGTTTTATTGTAAATTCAAGAATAATTACTAATGTAATTAGAAAATTTTAAATCGAATGCAATTATGCAAGCATATGATCCCTATTTTTAACAAAGACTAACACTGTAGATAAATATGTGTCTATCCGGCAAGCGCATAGAGTACAATAAACTTTCACATAAAATACACCTCTTACACTGTGCTTCTTTTTGAACATCTACAGTACATATGAAATATATAACTGATATATATCCAAGTCTGACTAGCAATTTTCATTATACAGTCAACTAAATAAGATCGGAAATTAACTAAACTGAACTGCACATGAAAACATTCAATCTAGCATGGATGGCACCAAAAAATATATTGCAGACAAAATAATGTCAGTACTGTACTGCAACAATCAGTTGGACCTTTTAGTGAAATGACTAAAAGAATTTTGCAGGAAACATTTTGGTACTGTCGAGGGAAAAATCTTTTTCACCGAGATAACAGTCCAGTAAAATGAATAGTTTCTTTTATGTAAGATCATTTTCAAGCATGGAATATGTATTCAAAGAGTCCAGAATAATTAAACTATCTTCATATGCAATCAGCAACAGTACCTACAATGATTTTTATTCATGATATTTGAAGTTATTTTAGTGATATATCACAACTCAAGCACAAGATACTGAAAATAAATAGGGTTCTGAGTGATGAAACATTGAGGTTTCTTTTCAAGCCTCTCAGGAAACTGTAGAGGAAAAGAAGAAAAAGGGTACGTTTAATTGCTTTTTGCATAGTATGCAGATTGACAATCATCATGCATAGATCATTAAAACAAGTGAAAAGTAATAATATCTATGATGCTTAATGCTAATTTTTTCTGTTGTAAGTCTATATGTAAAGTACATCCAACTTACAAGCTTCTGAGGGTACTAATATCGCAAACTATAAACAGGTATTGTTCATTGTCTCAGTGAATGATCAGAGACATGAACATCCTACTGCAGAAGGTTCAAATTCCCAATACCACCTCATAAAGGCAATAGACTTTGCAGAGAACTGATATATGAATGGACAAACGGATGCTTATGTTATATTGCAACAGACATAATTAGAAAAGAATCATGCAGGTAATATATAATGTGAAGAAGAAAGAACAAAGCATGTGTGCACCATCATTAAGTAAACTGCAAAGGTTGCAGCGCCACTTCCTTCCTGCATCTGTGAAAGCCACATATGGGTTCACATACGTTCGGCATCTCCTACATCTTATGACACCTGCTGCTCCAAAATTTACAATTGGTACCTCTTCCTGAAAGAATACCAAAAGGCAATAAAGTATTTATAACAAGGTGGTGATACTTGAAGCGGATTATAATCACACTGTTACATCTGTGGCATATAGGCAGCATGCAGATATGTATCTGTGTATAACGGACAATTATAGGTGCACTTTTATACTGACCCCGTCAGGCGCTTCTGCCAGAGGATGAACTATGGCGCCAAGTGACAAATGCCACCTAGAAAGCAAAGATTGAGAACTTGGTATTGCATGAGTAGTCAGTCTAAAAAATCTAGGGTGACAGTTTAAAGGGTATGTCTCAAGAATGGAGGTTGGCTCCCTATCACCATCTAACGGTCTTGGCAGAGATGTTGGATCAATTCCGGCATCAAGCGACCCAGGAACAGACCCAACAGATAATGACTGAAAATCCTCTACAAGACCTTGAAGGCCACCTCCTATAGGAGGTCCGGCACTAGGGTACTGCATTTGTCCTCTAGTAGTAAAGCCAAAAGGAACTCCTGTAGATGGTGGAGGTGGTGGCATGACCCCTTGTTGGTAAGAGTGAAAAGGAGGTTGCACTGCAGGAATATACGTAGTTGGAAAAGCCTGTAGAGGTGGTTGGGAAGCCGGTCTTGGAGCAGTGAACTGTGAATCAGTCGGTGGCTGGTACACACTAGCTCTTGGAATGGTACTAGGATTTCTGTATACTGGTGCCTGTAAAGGTGGTCTAGTTGCAGCAAATTGTGACTCAGTTAGTGGAGGGGGAATGTTACCTCTAGGAGGTACTAGGTTTACAGTTTGGGACGGAATGCCTGCTGGAACTGCAGGAACCTGGGCCTGGGAATGAAGTGATCCAGGAGGGGAGGCAGCTGGTGGACCTAGTGGAGGACCTCGTAGAGGTATAGCTTGGCCAGTTGGAGGAAATCTAGGAGGTTGTGGTTGTGGTTGTGGTTGAGTAATTGAACTTTGTGAGAGGTGAGATGATGGTGGAGGACCCAATGGTCCATTTGAACTAACAAACGGAGGTTGAGGAGGCCTAAAACCAGATGATTCTGGGACAGCCAAGGGCCCAGATGTTGAGAATGGCATTGGTGTTTGCAGAGTGCCTGGTGCTACAAAACCAACTGGAGGACCAGAAGATCTGAAAGGTGTAGAACTTTGTGGATGATTTGAAAAGGGTGCAGCAGGTCTTCCAGGAAAGTTCGTCGGTTTATCGCTCCCCTGCTGCATATTTGCTTCACCTTATTCAGCTAATAGAGGGCCTAGCTGCGAGATACCATTTTAAACATTAGCCATGTGCATAAGTGAAGAAGAAAAATGCAATCTACAAACCTCAGATAACATTGTAAGCAAAAGGAAATCTACATGTAGAAGATATAAGATGGATATTAAATTGATAACTCCAATCTCTCTGTTTTTTTTTAATCATCAAATTTGGAAGGAATGGGGGGGGGGAGGGGGGATTTCTGGATGATGATATTACATAGAAATTGCTTCAATCAAGGTGTCAGTGGGCGGTTGGGGCTTGGGCATGCAGGGATCCTTGTAAGGTTCCTATCACCAGCAGGAGCGGAGGGATAGTTGAACTCCACTTATCTCGAGAATACTCATATAGAATGCAGGCATTGTCCTATATGTTGGTGTCTATGGTCCCCTCTTCATCAATAATCCCATTATATGAAACTATGTGATCTTTGAATAATGATAGTAATACTTCCAGGCGTTTACTTCATCAGCTAGCAAAGTAACTCTTGATGTTAACAGTTTTACCTCCCTTCTCTTGGAGCCATGTTTGCACTTTGGAGCAAAAAACTGAGCTTATCAAATTCTCTATGCTCCAAGAGATTTTTATATTGTGCAGAAATATGGACACCAATTGTACTGTCCATCCTTTTCAGATGATTAAAGCCTTTCTAAGCACCAGGAAATCACCAATTTTTGAAAAGATGTTCTTTAGACATGTTCAATATGACAAGTACAAACTTGAGAGTTAGCTTGCAGGATGCAGTAAATAGTGACAATTGCGAGAAATTTTTTAATTTGCACACATCACTGCCAGATGCATCCTTTTCTAATCACCTAAAAAGATACCAATAAATCTTGTAGCAGCACCCTGGCAAATTGGAAGTGGACCCTACTGGTGATTTTAGAGATTATAGGATATAAACCCCATTTAGATTACAAGTTTTATAGTGTGCATGTAATACATGACTGAAACGGAGATAAGGGACATCTTTTCACAGTCAGCGGTGATAAAGCAATATTTTACACCCAACAATGAGTTAATGGCACAAAATCCAAACAAACAAAAAACAACTTTCCATCAACATGGACTTGCTATGCAACAAAAAAGAACTCCAGAAAAGGCTTAACAAAGTTTCATGCTTGGCTGACAACCCAATATGGTCCATCTGATCTGTTCCTAAATCTTGGACAAAGAAATAATGAGAATAAGTGACTTGTTGTATAGCCTAGAAAGGAAGTTTCCATGTAGAAACCCTCATTGTTTAACCTCACGCCATGGAGAAGAAAACCTCCAATGTTCCACAGACTGAGATAAATCTCAAGCGTAAAGATAAATACTTCCCATGATGTAGATTGATTTCCATACACCATGACACAGTTTTATCAATATCTCTCGTTTACTTAGAATAATATAAATAATCATCATTCATCAGATACAATTTCATAGGATCCACTTGCTTTCAAGACAAAAAAAGGTAGACTAAGAGAAATTTCTGAGCCCTGAAAAGTAGCCCTAATAAAACTGGGGCATCAACAGAATCTTTCTCAACATTCAAAATAAGAATCGCATAGCTTCCCTCTCTCATGGTGCAAATAGAAAAGTGTACCCAGAGAAAATTTCAAGTTTATTACTTTCATGAGTTATGTTACTTTTGAGATCTACCTATATAGTCAGGGCTCCAATCAACAGATGGTTAATCAAATTCACTTATTTTGTCTCTATCCACACCTGCAGCATGATCTTTGGCATTTGTGATTTAATTGACTTCTGTGTAAAGTCCCTTAGTTCACTGATAGAACCCTCTACTCAAATCAACCTCCCCTTGCCTAATCCATAATTTCTCTCCCAGCAGAGTTTCAAAGCCTTTGAATAAAATTAATTTCACCCTACAAAGTTTATATGCAATATAGAAATGTTTCTATCTGGCTCTCCATCTACTGTCGTACTCAGAAGTCAGAACATGAATCTGATTCCCTGCAACCTTACCAACTTCGATGATGAGGCAAAGAGACGAGAGGGATCGGGAGGAAGAGAGGCAAGTCAAGAGCTTCAACTTAAATCAAGGACTTCGATTCAAAAACTAAGTCATATATTAGTAAATTATCAGTGTCTTCCGTTGCAAGTTAGTCCTGCCGGGATCGTTGCTACATGGTTGTTGCAAACCTAATAGTATTTTTGAGAAATGTTGGAGATAAAATGAAAGGTATGTAGCAATGATAAAGCTCTCGTACCCCTAAAAAATTCCTTTCAGTAATTTCATTGCCATTTGGGTTTTCTTTGAGTTTTTTTATGATTTTAACTCTCTTGTTTTGTAAGCGTACACAATCTATGATACTTCTATAATCATCTTCTTCGACAAAATGTTTCTCCCAGCCTCCAAGTTTTGTACATAAAGTTTGGAGATAAATTGTATCTTAGCATCCTTTATTTTGCCCAATAGGAGTATTTGTGTGTTTTAAGAATGCGTTTCATTTGCCTTTTTTCTCGCATTGGAACACGAAGATGAATGAATCTCGGTGTTGAAATCTTATCACCTTCCCTTTTTATTTAGACACTTTCCAGTTTTTAGAAAATAAGTTGGCTTGCTCTTTATTAGTTCATAGCATTCTCTCTCTTGCCCTTTGTTCCTATGGCAAAGACTTGAAACCAACTCATGGAATCGGTATTCTATCTTTATGTAGAGCGCGAAATATAATCAATAAGTCTAAAGACTTCACTGTTATAAGTTTACTTCACAAACAAATGGCTCACATGACTATGATGAAGACTTTTATGTTGGTTGGAGGTTCACCAATTTGGATTGTGTGATGATATTATTTGGGAGCACATTCCACCTAAAAGGTCAAAGGATAGCTGGAATAAAAAACGGAACCCAACCAGTGCCACCATCTCTCTTTATCTATCAATTTGTAGGGGAATTAACTAAATAAAAAAACTCAACGTCGCTACTTATTTAATTGGATGCTAACCCAAAATGAGATACAACCTAAGAATCTACAGCATCTTGCTTTTGGTGAGCCTGAGTCAGGACTTGTGGGTATGACCCAAATCTTTTCCAGACTAACTGCACATGCTGGATTACTCAACCTTGTTGGCTACAACCAACAGGTCAATTTCATGTTGAGCACCAAGGATCCACAGTTACTGACAGCCAATATTGAATAATCCCAATTCTAGGACATTAGAAGAAGAATACAACTCTCACACACTCACTTTGTAGCATGGACAAAAACGAATACCCTTCTGCTTCAATGACCATGTCTCTCTGTCAACCTTAAGCATCCATGATATATATTCCATAGTGCCCGCAACAATCTCAAAGCAACTTGACCACCCATTGTCCATGATTCCACGCTCGTTGCCATAAGCTCTAGTGCACTTTTTAGGGCGATAGGTAGACTCATGGAATTGTTTGGAACACGCTCGTAATTGACAGACACCAATACTGGCCTAAAAGGTTAAACCACAATCACCTACTAGTTACTCCCTCTTCCATTTCGTTAATATCAAATATCAAAAACACCCTTTTTCTCATTAAAATCTCCTCGAATAATTACAATAAAACAAATCATTGGTCCTAAGTAGGTTCCACCTAGCAATTAAGTGGCTTTAGAATATCTCTTAAGATTGTTAACAATACGCATATTTGACAAAAGCAAAACTTTTGAAAATCCTAGCAATGCAAAGGTTCAAAACTTCAAATTTTGTTGAGATTACAGTTCTAACAAATAGGTTGCCCAATTTCCTCATCAAATTCTCCCCTCGGTCCCATCCATCGCTACAAGTACAAAAAAATATTACTCAATCCTTAGCACATGTTCGAAGTTTTACTACATTGGGAGTGCATTTTAACTCGGTATTAGAGCAATCCAAGTTCAAAATTCATCGTGCACGCATTTAAAGTGAATCATTAAAAAAAGGACAAAAAAGTTCAGTTTTCAGTTTTCAGCCCGTGAAAAGGTTTCTCAATCTTCAAACCCACATCATCGAAGTATGAAACTATAACCCTCATCCCAGCTTCAAAGTTTCAGTGCAACGGTGCGATCTTTAATTTAACATTCACCTTAAATTTATTAACAATCAAGTTTCAAAATGTTGTTGAGATTGCAATGCTAATCAATACCAACACTCTTCCACGATCAACTGCTTGCCTTAATCCAACTCCTCAACTTCCCTAACGTCAAAATTTCTATCAAATTCAACAGAAATCTAAGCAACCCAAGAAACTACGATAAGATCTAGCATCATCAACAAAACCCTGAAAGACAAACAAGAAAGGCGACATGAATCAAACATCGCAATACCTCAAGCTGAAGTGGATCCAAGCGAGTAGGATCCGGATCCGACAACTGGAAGGATATCACCGGATATTTGGTGGCAGCGGCGGCGGCCGCCGGCGGAGGAGGAGAGGGGAGCAGAGAAATCGAGGAAGATTGATTACTGGCAGAGAACACAAGAATTTTTGTACTTGACTGGGATCTGGGCTTGTGTGGGTCGGATCCAAACTATACAATGTTTGAGATCCGACCCGATCTAAATCCGGGTTCGGATCTATGCTGGGGCTAGGAACCTGAAAATGTACTAGTTACTAGTCCCATGTGATATATCATTTCATTCTCCCTTTTAGAAGGGGTACTAGAAAAACTTTATCTACCCAAAATATCCTTAAATTTTCATTAATTTATCAAATTTACCCCTTCTTTTTTCGTTGCTCAGAATCAGAAAACTCTAATAGCTTGTTTGGATGGAGGGTAGAGAGGGGAAGAGAATGAAAATTTCATTTTAACCTTGTTTGGGAGTTTCATTTTGGAGGGTAAAGGAGGGGAATGAAGTGGAAATTTGGCCCAAATTCTTACACCCCAAATTAGGGTGTAATGGAGAGGAAGGGAAGGAATGAGAATTTTTCCCCTTCCTTCCCCTTCATTCCCTTCCCTAATGGTGTGTTTGGGAGTTTACTTAGGGAAGGTAAGGAAGGGGAAGGAAGGGGAATTTTTCCCCTTCCTTCCCTTCCCCTCCATTACACCCCAATTTGGGGTGTAGGAGCATCTCCAACAGCTTCCCCAAAATTTTCTCCAAAATAGAGAAACAAAAGTCATATTCTCCAAATTATTTTTGCTCCAACTCCAACAGCTTCCCCATTTTGAAAAATCGCATTTATTACAATAATAAAGCTCTCCCCAAAAATTTGGAGAATGCTGCAGATTTGGGGAAGACTCCATATTTTTTCTCCTCCTTCCCTATTTTGGGGAATGAGATAGGGAATCTGTTGGACCAAAAAAAAGCTCTATATTCTCCAAATTTGAGTATTTCAAGAAGATGGGGAAGCTGTTGGAGATGCTCTAAGAATTTGGGCCAAATTTTCCCTCCATTCCCCTCCTCTACCCTTCAAAATAAAACTCCCAAACAAGGTTAAAATGAAATTTCCCTTCCCTTCCCTTCTCCCTCTCTACCCTCCATCCAAACAGGCCATAAGTAAACTCCCAAACACATCATAAAGCCCTTCATCTTTTTCGTTCCATCCGTTACAATTCTTCCCTGTCAACTCAGTCCCACTCCCTCTACCTCATCAATTGACGGTTACAAAATTTCAAAGATGCTTACCATCAGCATATATTGGCTAATAGCAAGCAGACGCCATACAAACCTTGCGGATTTGCGACAAAAATGTATGAAATTTTAAAATTTTCAGTGACGAAAGTATGTGTGAAATTTGAGGTTTTGAGTGTTTTGGGATCTAATATTGATCTTGGTTCCCCAGTTTGCTTATTGTTTGATTTAAATTTTAGTTATTGGCAAGAATTTGTAAGAGTGACTCCCTATTTAGTAATTGTGGGACTAAATGTATGCACACACTGTATAAACCCTGCGGATTTGTGTGGAAGATGTATCTGGGTTTTTAACTTTATATTTGTGGTTTTTTTTTTTTGGGTTGGGGGGGGGGGGTTTTTTTGGGGTGGGGGGGGGGGGATTTCTACAAATATAGCAGTTAAGAAAGTATGTGTGAAGTTTGATAGGTTTGGGTTTTGTGGCATCTAATGATGCTGTTGATTTTTTTTTCAGTTTGTTTATTGTTTGCATTAGAGTTTCTTTATTAACTAAATGGTCCCTTACATACCACAGTCGTTAGTCCTGGCAATTGATATTTTTCTAATTTTTTTAGTTTTCATGCATTTTTTACAGGATTAAGTATTTGGAGATTGCTGATTCTCCCATCTATCAAGGTAAATATTAATATTTGTTATAAAATTAATTTTGTTTATTGGATTATATATTAATTTGGTCAACTTAGTAAAACTAGCCAAGTTTATGATTCTATGTCCGATAGCTTGCTTAGCTGTATCCTTCTATCACATTAGAAAGCTTGTCTTTTCTCAGTTTATATTACGATAGATTAGTTGTGTTTCCTTTTTTTTAATTGGAAGAATTTTCTCAAGACTTTTTTTGCTTCATACCATCCCCTCACTCTCATCTTAAGCCAACAAAATTATTTTGCTCATCAAACTACTATGGATCTATTGTGTCCATACTTCTTTTATATTATTGTTATCTTATGATATCCTTTGGATGGTAAGTAATTGGTTTGTCATGCAAATTATATGTCTAGAGAATAGATGCTCAGGCGGATCATTTTAGGCAAGACGAGGATGCACAAGTTAAGCATATATATGTACTAGGAGACAATTATTGTATATAAAGATCCTTTAGGGACCCTAGGTGGCATGCTATATCATGTCCACTTAAGCATCATCCGACAGTATTGGTTAAACCGTCAGGCCCTGATACCAGTTGCTTAGGGTATACGTCAATAATAACGTCTTGAACAGAGACACAATACACACCCAAAGGATTTTAGAATCACAGAATAAAGATACAAATTCAATCACAGTACTCACAGATATAACGTGGTTCACTCTTACGGAGCTACTCCACGGTGCAACAACGATGCCCAGTTCTTTTATATTCCAAAAGAATTAGATTAAAGAGAACATTCTCTCCTAATCAAAATACACTCCAAGTATTCTCACAAACTCTCTCATTGATATTAAGAAAAAAAACTCTCTACTTTTCCTTTCTCTCACTCTTCTATAAGAGGAGTTTTCGGGATGAATTTTCCTAAAGAGTTTTGGCCCTATTTATAGTATTTGGGAAACACTATACACTAATAAAATATTATTAGTAGTGAGACCCATCATCTTTCTTTTGTAAACTTTTCAGCCACTATTTTTCTTTTTCATTGTCAAAAAGGTGGGGCTGCTTTTTGCTTTCGGCTGACAGAGCTGTCTGTGCTGAAGTTTGATCATTAGAAGGATCGAGCTGTAGGATTGGCGGGAATATTAGTTGAAGGAGCATAGGAGTCATTTTGACAGCTTGGCGGTCAACTGAATTCGTGCACAGGCTCTCATTGTGTTTCTGGATCTCTGGCGGTCGATCGTGACGGTTGACCGCGTCCGAGCCCAGAAACTAGAAAAGTATCTAGAGTTGGGGCAGTCGACCGTGACGGTCAACCGCGATGCATGCGCGGTCGATCGTCACGGTTGACTGCCAAAGTGGTTTTGGGTTCCAGACCCGTTTTGCTTGAGAGTTGTATATATACCCTTAACTTGTTTTTAGGGTTTAAATGAGAGGATTTTGAGCTGCAGAAAGAGGAGATTTGGGGCTTCTATTGTTGGAACCATTTGAAGAGATTAAGAGGGCTTATTTGTGGGTTTGTGGTAAGATTTGTAACCCTAATTGTATTCCCCTTGATTTCTAATAGTAAAACTCCCCCACTCCTTGCCCCGCGGGCGTAAAAAATTTGTCGAACCACGTATATTTTGTGTTCTTGCTGTGATTATGTGTTGCTTGTGCTATTGTGGTCTACTATTGGTTCTTGTGTGTGCTATTGACTTGCCGAATAAGCTTCTGCCATGCACAATATCAGTTGAAGGAGCATAGGAGTCATTTTGACAGGTTGGCGATCGACCGTGGGTCTATGGCGGTCGACCGAATTCGTGCACAGGCTCTCACTGTGTTTCCGGATCTCTGGCGGTCGGAGCCCAGAAACTAGAAAGTTGTCTGGAGTCTGTGAGCGGTCGACCGTGGCGGCGACCAGCCGCCCAGGTCCAGGACTTGGAAGTCTCCCGACTGTGGCGATCGACCGCGATACCTGCGCGGTTGACCGTCACGGTCGACCGCCAAAGCGGTTTTGGGCTGGGTTTGGGTTCCAGACCCATTTCGCTTGGGAGTTGTATATATACCCTTAACTCGTTTTTAGGGTTTAAGGGAGAGGATTTTGAGTTACAGAAAAAGGAGATTTGGGGCTTCAATTGTTGGAGCCATTTGGAGAGATTAAGAGGGCTTATTTGTGGGTTTGTGGTAAGATTTGTAACCCTAATTATATTCCCCTTGATTTCTAATAGTAAACCCCTTATCCTGTGGACGTAGGCAATTTACCGAACCACGTATTTTTTGTGTTCTTGCTGTGATTGGGTGTTGCTTGTGCTATTATGGTCTATTATTGGTTCTTGTGTGTGCTATTGACTTGCCGAATAAGCTTCCGCCGCGCACAACAAGTGGTATCAGAGCTCCGGGTTAGAGTTGAGAGTTTGTTCGAAGGATTCGTTGTTGGATTCTTGTTTGGAGAGGTAGATCTACAATATGGGTGAACCAAGCACATCGGGGTCGTCTTTGACGAAGGCGATTCAAAGCTTGAGCATCAATAATACAAACTTTAATGTTCTGAAGTTCGATGATAAGATCAATTTTTGTTTGTGGAGGTGTCAAGTAATGGATACCTTGGATGCACAAAATTTAGAGGAGACTCTTGATCTACAAGAGAAACCCGAAGATGTGGAGGATAAGGTTTAGAAGAAAATGAATAGTAGGGTTTGTGGGGTTATTCGGTCATACTTGATGCCGGATCTCATTTATGATGTGATGAGCGAGATGTCAGCGAAGAGATTGTGGGAAACGCTCAATGAAAAATATTTGACGAAGAGCATTGAGAATCGGTTTTACTTGAAGAAGAGGTTCTACGAATTCAAGATGAAGAGGGGAGTTTCCATTCGGGAGCATGTTAAAAACTTCACAAAGCTAATTTCGGATATGGCCAATAGGGATATTATGGTTGAGGATGAAGACAAGGCGATGTTACTATTGTGTTCGTTGTCGGAGGATGATTTTGATACGTTTGTTCTCACTATGATAAATAGATAAACTACAGTTAGCTACAAGAAGGTGACCTCGGTGTTAGTGAATTATGAGCTGAGGAAGAATGATGGTGAGCCCTCCGCGAAAGCATCAGGGGATGCATTAGTAGTTCGTGGCCGTAGTCCAAACCGTCAAATGTTCAACTGCTCAAAATCTAAGAATAGAGGTGGTCATAAGAGTGTTGGTAGAAATCAATGCGCCTTTTGCAAAGAAGAGAGACATTAGAAGAATGAGTGCTCAAAGTTGAAGGATAGAGCCGGGA